CATTTTAGTTTTCGCCTCCTGAGATGTAGATATATTCAAAATTTGGTCTGAAGGTATCCATTTGCAAATTCAAGAACTGTGGTTCACTGTTGAGATGCATTAGAATATAGATACCAACAAGGTCTTTATGTAGTTCTCTGGAATGTCTGATATTCTCCATGGACGTTGATCGTAGGACATGGATGATGCTGATGCCCTGTGCTGTGATCTTTATCAATAGAAATTGGACACATGTGCTGAAAAAAGACCCAGAAAATTGTTTCACAGCAAACTTAATGGCATTTACTCCCTCCGGCCCCTATTATAAGATGTTATTACAGCCAATGTACTCATATATTGGTTGTAATAAGTTAATAACATCTTAAATTATGGGATGGAGGGGGTAGTTTCTAAACAGTTATCCTGATTCTTTCCCTTACTGTGATAAAACGTTATTGGTCACAGCAAATCAATATAGCTGAATTTAAAACTGGCGAACCAACTAAGATAAATCAACATATTATGTCACCTTGATTTCTACATGATAATTAATCTCTTTTCTCCACTTTGTTTCTTTGTTTAGATAGAGTTTTTGGGCCTTCAACAGCTACAGAGGCTGTCTATGATGTTGCTGCTCGGCCTGTTGTGAAAGGTGCTATGGAGGGCATAAATGGTATGCCACTTTCATTTATTTAGGTTACTCTACACATTTTATTTTGATTTTTGATATAATTATAATGTCATATGTAATTCAACAGCCACAGAGACTTTTATCTGTCCACCTTCACTCTATGCCCATATGTAATGTTACTGTCGTGACTGCACAGTGCATTATGAGATATCCAATCTCTACCTTCTCATCATGTTTCCTTTGATACCTAATTTACTCTTATTGTCCATATCGTTTTCTTCAATGCTTCGATATTTTATGAGGGCTATTGCTGTAATGGCATCTATTCTTACATAATTCATATTTTACCTTGTATGGTGAATTGTTAGCTTATCATAGTCACTGATCTCTGAACACATCTTTGTACTAACTTGTAGGGACAGTTTTTGCCTATGGTGTCACAAGCAGTGGGAAAACCCACACAATGCATGTAAGTTCTTATTTTCTACAGAAATAAGACCAAAACACAGGTAGAATAGCAGCAAGATATTATTCTTTGAAGGGTCTTCCCTTTAGCACATTCCTTTCAGTTCAATTCTGTTGTTCCAATCGATTTTCTGCACCTGCTACTTCACGTGGTAACAATTATGATTGTGCTATATCCATTTTTCGCAAATAATATTGTTGGATACAAGCCCATTTGTGATTTGTGAAGACAAGACTAATATTTATACTGCCTATTCATTTGTTCCCCAATCTTCCGCAGGGTGACCAGAATTGTCCTGGAATAATCCCATTAGCCATCAAGGATGTCTTCAGCTTAATACAAGAGGTATGACAGCAAGTGCTTGAGTTACATAGCAATATAACATTTAAACTCCACACTGTAAATATGTTTAACTGCACCAATGGATTTGTTTTATATTTTTTAATGAAGGAACACTTTACTTTGGTGACTAGTTGATCACCTCGTAAATCTGTACCTATGTCTTCCTAGTCATTACTAGCCACAAAGCATCGTTTAGATAAACACTTAATATAATTTCGAACACTGTATCACCAAAAGCAGCCCATGTTTATGCATGTCATGCAAACATGATCTGTTATATCCAAACTCAGCTGACCACAATAATCTGAATTTCCAAACAACAGAGCATTAAGAGTTAAGAGTTAAGACTGAGTCTGTATAACTGTGTGGTAGCTCTTTGTTGAAGATAAACTGCCTGGAAAGTGGACTTATGAGTTTGGAGAGTTCTTTTGTTGGTTTTTACACAAGGATTTCCTCACTCACTTAGCGAACAAATAAAACAATCTTATTTATTTGATTAACTGAAGAGCATTGAGAGGCTGAGAGGGAAGGCTGACAACTTCAGTTGTGGCCACGATGACATACTCAAACCTATATACAAAACTTGCACGTTCTGTTTTGTTGTCAATCATGTTCTTTATCAACTCTACTGTTTACTCTTTGCTGCTCATATCTATTGATTATTTTGTCATTTTTTCTGGTTATACTGAACTTGAACCCTTGATTTGCATATCTTGACCAACAGACTCCTGGAAGGGAATTTTTGCTACGTGTATCATACCTGGAAATCTATAATGAGGTATGGTATCTCCATTTCGTAAATTTCTCCAAAGTCACTGCATTTATCCCTTTCTTGAATAGTCCAACAGCGTTACTCAAGTAACAGTTGATCCTTGTGTGCTGTGCCTTTTCTCTTTGTAATAAATTAATATAAATACTGACTTGTCTGACCATTCGCAAAATATTTCCTGGTCATTTCCCTACCTAGAGTGTGCTCCCATTAATTATCCTCATATTTCCCTTTTTTGTTTTGCTGCATGCTCTCAGCACTTATTTTTGTTGGTTGGACTTCACGTTCCTGATGGTAGATGTGTGGATGTGCCTACCTCCTCATATATGGCTGGCCTTTGTTTGAACAAAGTCAAAAGATCTACAGAGATTAATCCACTAAAGATTAGTCTCTTATTTAGTCTTGATTAGTCTCTTATTTAGGGAAATATCTAATCTTAGGTCTTAACTATTCTTGGTGTGGGTGCAGCTTGCATGAGCCACACCCATGCCAGTTGGTGATTGTCATATATCCCTCCAATCTTGTGCTATACAAATACTGTCTGAGTGATACTATGATTTCCATATATTGATTATTGAGCTCCTTGCCTTTCATGAAGGTCAAGTTAAAAGTTACTCCCTCCGTAAAGAAATATAAGAGTGTTTAGATCACTAAAATAGTGATCTAAACGCTTTTATATTTCTTTACAGAGGGAGTACAAGTCACACTCCATCGCAGATTATCTGTATCCAGAATGCACTTTCATCTAGTACTATCTGGATGGTTTAAATCTGTACATTTTATTGCAGGTGATAAATGATCTGCTTGATCCTACTGGACAAAATCTGCGTGTGAGGGAGGATGCACAGGTTTAATCCCCTACAGTTGTTACACTATGTTTATTGTCTTGCTTCTGTATCTGTGCTGTAATTCTGTATTTAATTGTTTTGCATCTCCTCCTGAAACCTAATTTTGAGTACATTTTTGGTACTTATTTTCTTAGTTTTTTGCTGTTATTCTCGCTAGTATGAATCTGCTTTTCGTTTTGCCCCTCTTTTTACCTTGTTTCGTTTTTAAAGTTCTGGTATCATTCCATCCAGTTAACAAACTGTGAAGATATTGTAATATTGATAGTTTAGCTTTCATGGGTTTGATATGGATATTACTCTTACTTGCTACACATTATCTTTCTGCCCCTCTTTTTATCTTGTTTTGTTTTTAAAGTTCTGGACATCATTCCATCCAGTTAACAAACTGTGAAGATATTGTAATATTGTTAGTTTAGCTTTCATGGGTTTGATATGGTATTGCTCGTACTTGCTACACATTATCTTTCTTTAAACCTTGTTGTTTCCTCATGAAATGATGACTAGATTAATGGTTCCAGCAGAATGCCATCTATTTGATTTGCAAGTTAACAAAATGACAAGCAGTTTTTGTGGCCTTCTTTTGATAATGAAATTGTTACATGTCAAGTGAGCACGTAAACTATGCCTGGAGTGCCATTTGGCTCTGAGAGTGATTGACATGTAGATCTTGTTTGTGTAGTCAGTGACTCAGTGTTGTTTTTTCCTTGTTCATATCCAATGCAAGCTGTGTTATATGCAATAACGCCAATGTAGCTTCATGCCTTTATCTACTGCAGTGATACCTCTAGTTTTGAGCTTCCGCTGATCTTCTTCCTTCTGCTACAGGGAACATATGTAGAAGGAATAAAAGAAGAAGTTGTACTTTCTCCAGGACATGCTCTCTCTTTCATAGCTGCTGGCGAAGGTGATAATAATATATTGCTTTCCCTACTACTAGAGTGTTACTGGCTAGATGGTAGGGGTCACCGATTGGCATGGATATGCACCAGGAAGGTGTTGTTTCTGTGAGACATGTGCAGTTAGCCATGCAGTATCTCTCTACAATGCATTAGTCTGCTTGTGAACTGTATGATTTTCTTCTCATGTAGAACCAATAACTAGCCACTGATTTCCTATGATTGCTTTTGTTTAACGGATCAGCAGTTTCTCAGTCTGCGAGAAATTGTTGTCTCTCAATCAGTTATGCTGCATATTATCAAGACTACCATTGTCCATTGACTTCTCTCCTATAATCTATTCTCAACGCTGGTCTCTCTTATATTCCCAATCACAATATGATTAATTCATAGATACTTTAGCTTGCGAACCTAAAACATCATCCATTCTGTAAAAAAAATAGGTTTAAGCATCAGCTAATATTATTTCTAGACAACATATGATTTTACTCACAGTTGTAATTATTCAGTTTGCTAACTCAATTTTGGTGCTAATTTCTGAATTACTCACACTTTTTGTCTTACCTGAGTGTTTCACAGTTTTTTCTGTTTTGGTGATATTTTAATTCATGACCTACTATATAATTGTAGTCTTATTAGAGTCAAACTAATACTACTTCAAATGACAGAGCATCGGCATGTTGGTTCAAACAACTTCAACTTATTTAGCAGCCGAAGTCATACTATTTTCACTATGGTGAGCTCAGAAATTCCATCAGTATTTAAGGCATTTAATCAAAAAAATTTCTTGAGAAAACGCAAAAGACCTTGCATTTCATTTCATTGAAAAGGTAGAAGTATGGTACAATCCTCCTAGGAGGCAAGGGTTACAGATAGATGGGAGGAAGTCAGTGGACATCCCAGGTAGAGGGGAAGACAGTTCTAAGTCCTAGAGCGCCGGCCGTCGCCCAAGAAGAAGCTTCGTCCTTGATCCTGCCTACAAGTGTAGCAATTGAAGGGCTGGCATTGTCGAAGACACACTCGTTCATGTGCTTCCAGATCATCCAAGGCACGAGGAGGGTGACAGATGCCAGCGCTTTGCGCTGCAGCGTTGTTGCTCCTTGTGTTCCGCGCAGCACCAGTCCATTAGCGTTGCCTCATGGTTTGGTGTAGGTATCTGAACTCCTAGCCAAGTCAGTATCTCATGTCAGGTTTGCCGGGCGAAGGTGCAGTCCAACAAGAGGTGTCGCATAGTTTCCGGGGTCTGATCGCATAGTAGGCAGCGGGGGTGGTGCTGCAGGCCGCGGCGGGCGAGCCTGTCGGCTGTCCAGCAGCGATCCTGGTTAGCCAGCAAGTGGAAGAACTTAACCCGCGGTGGCGCCCAGCTTTTCCAAATTAGTTTCCAGGAGTTGCAGAGTGAAGAACTTAATCAATTTATTTATGAATATTGCCTTATTGTTCTTGTATGGCGGATGCTATTGAGTTTCTTGATAATGATGCATCATGTTTCTGAATCTCACATGTGATATGTTGTATTTATTTATTTGGGTCTATAATATTTGTGCGCTCTTCTGCAGATGATTGAAAGCAGTGATCGTGGTGACGAGTACGATGGAGCCATGTACTCACAGCTTGTATGTTGTTTTACCCATAAACAAGATTACATTTTTCAACCGTTACGCTTTCTAGTCTTACTTTTTAGTGCTTCTTCTCTATAGAATTTGATTGATCTAGCTGGCTCAGAGAGTTCTAAGACAGAGACTACGGGGTTAAGAAGAAGGGAAGGATCTTATATTAACAAGAGTCTTTTAACTCTCGGAACAGTAAGCTTTTGTTTCTAATTACCTGTCACAACTCAGGGTTTTCGTTTTATGTCTATTGTCGTAAATTTCAACTTGAAACACATCTTGTTAAGATCCTGTTTTAGAACTTCAGGGAGCACACCTGAACTTATATTTATATTGGACATCATCTGGTAATTAGTTGGAGCTGTTGAATGTGGCAACATATTTTGTACATTTATTCTAAGCAACCTCTACTTCAGGGCCACTTATGTTTCTGGTATCCTTAATGTAATCACTGATTAATTCTGAACTTAACTTCCTAATTCAAAGGTTATCGGGAAGCTCAGTGAAGGGAGAGCAACACATATACCCTATCGAGATTCTAAGTTGACTCGTCTGCTGCAGTCATCACTGAGTGGCCATGGTCACGTCTCAGTAAGTATCTACCCGTTCTTTAGAGCTTCCTACTTTGGAACTCACTACATGTGCTGGTGGAGGCTATCTTTGCAGCGTGTAGTGAAACTTTATTTTCAATTATCCAGCTGACATACTGACTTCTTTATGCAGCTAATTTGCACAATTACCCCAGCATCGAGTAACATGGAGGAAACCCATAATACATTGAAATTTGCAAGCAGAGCAAAGCGTGTTGAAATTTATGCCTCTCGTAACCGGGTAAATGTTCTCAGCATGCGATTCTTACTTCCCGTGGCACCATTACTTGAATAATTAATGAACATTTCATTATTTTCTCTGTGCAGTTAGTTGATGAGAAGTCTTTGATCAAGAAGTATCAGAGAGAAATATCGTCTCTAAAGCAAGAGCTTGATGAGTTTAGGAGAGGAATGCTTGGGGGTGCTAGTCAGGAAGAAATAATGATTTTACGGCAACAGGTCTGCTTCATTTGCTTTTGCCAGATACAACTAAGGAGCACAATGGTTTATGAAGCATCTATGCAAATGCTTGATTTTTTCCTGTTCTATATATGAATACTTATATTGATTTCATATTGTTAAGTTGTAAATGCTTAAAAAATGACTTCTTTTGCCTTGTTTAGTTGGAAGAGGGCCAGGTAAAAATGCAATCTCGCCTTGAGGAGGAAGAGGATGCCAAAGCTGCTCTGATGAGCAGAATACAGCGGTTGACCAAGTTAATACTTGTTTCCACGAAGACCAATATTCCTGCTTTGACAGATTCGTCTCGTCTTCAGCGCCAAAATTCTGTTAGTGAGGAAGATGTAGGTGCTCATTATTGATCTGATTCTGCATTTGTTACCATATTTAAGGTTTTTGATTCTATGAAGTTATAAGTCATGCTCTTTTAACTTAGAAGGTGTACTAATTCTATCTATTTCAGAAGTTAAGCTCTTCCCAAGATAGTACTACGGTAGTCCAAAATGACAGTACATCAAAGGACACCTTATCATCTGCTTTTCCTGACCCGTTGGATGAGATCAATGGACTAAGGTCTGCTAACGGAGATCCTTCTTCAGTAACTGGTTCAGGACAAGATTCAATGCAGGTTTGCATTCTACATTTTTTAATTGACCAGTAAACCAGTGACATGTGCCCATGCCATAATCCTAAGGTTTATAGCTATCATCTTGCCGTTCTTGATTTTTTTGATGCACAACTTCTTGTGGAAAATATGCTTTGTCACTTGTTTGGCTCAAAACAACATTTGGAAAACTACAATATTAGAAATCCAAAACCTATTTGGCCATATTACTGGTTTTCCACTAAAAACATTACGTGCAATTAGTGTGTGTAACAGTCACAGCTTATTCCCCATTGCAGTCATGCATTGTTTCTTAACAGTCATGGCTGGGAGTTTTTTTTTGAGAAAAGTCATGTCTGGGAGTTGTGTTCTCTAGTTGACTGTATTCTCACTGCCACGAATATTTTTGTGCTGAGCTCTATTTATCCTTTCCCAGAACAGAAGGCATCTGAGATACAGATACTGCGATATGCTGATACAATATTTCCATAAAGCAAGAATGGATCGATTAATCTGTATTTTTGTTAGATAATACTCCTAGAAGCATTTATTTGTACTTGAAAATAAATAAATTATTTAGTGAGGCTATGAGAGAGCAAGGAGTTGATATTACCATATGAAAATGGAAAACCTAAACTAAGATCGAGAGCGTCCATTTGCCATGCCCTAAATCCAAATGCAAATACCAAAATCAGATCTAGGCACTGGACATCTAGAATTAGTCCTAGAGTGGAGGCGGCAGCAGCAAGAGGTATGGAGGAGGTGGCTGTGGCAGGAACAACAGTTTAGTGCGGAGGCAGCACCATTGTGTGGTGGAGGCAGCGACCTTTGGTGAAGAAGGGAAAGGAAGAGGCAGCGACAGCCGATAGGAGTGAGGAGGGGAAGGAGGAGGAGATGCAAAGGGAGGGCAGACAGAGGAGTCAAGGACCGAGTGGACACTTGTCGTGGACCTTTATTTTGCACTGGCTGATGGAGCATATCCAACAGTCTATATTAACAACAATACAGTACAATGGTTATTTTATACTTTTTTAGAATCAATTTTATACTGGATTTTGAAAGAGAACGTGCTGAATTTACGAATGATTATTGGTTATAGCTTAATGTACTTTGTATATCAGGTGGGAATCACGGAATCGGATCATTTGGATCTATTGATTGAGCAAGTTAAGATGCTTGCTGGGGAGATTGCTTTTGGTACCAGTTCGCTGAAAAGATTAATTGAACAATCCATAGAAGACCCTGAAGGGACAAAGAATCAAGTAGGTGTCATCCCATTCTTAGCATTTTTTACATTTAACTTCCTGCTCAATATTCAACTTCTTGTTCTACTGAATAAGTATCCAGACGAATAAGCATATGTCTTCGTGTTACTGAAAGACAGACACATGGAGTGCTTCACAGTTGCATACACTACACACTTCTGCTATTTTTCTAGGATTCTGAATATGTTCTAAAGCTCATGTTTGATATTTTATCTTGCTTTGCTCCCTTTACTTTAACCGTTCCATTTTAAATATGCCACTTCTGATAGATGGCTCCTTAACATCCTCTTTTGATAGTTTTGTAACTCTTTTTGATAGAATGTATCATCTTCTATATCTTCATGATGTTCCAATGCGTTGCACTGTAACTAATGCTCATGCATGTATCTTTTGATAACAGATAGAGAATTTAGAGCATGAAATCCAGCAAAAGAGGAGGCATCTGCGAGCCCTGGAACAAAAAATCATGGAAAGCGGTGAGGCATCAGTTGCTAATGCTTCTATGGTGGATATGCAGCAGGTAATGTTGTCTAGTATAAAGATAAGCCTCTTAATTATTTGTGTATCCCCTTCCCTGCGTAGTAACATACATTTTGTGGAAACAGACTATTACGAAGTTGACAGCTCAATGCAATGAGAAGGCTTTTGACTTAGAGGTGATCTTACTAAATTTTCAGTGTGCTTCCCACAAAACTGATGTGTCTTCAATGTACATGTATAGATATATTTTAGAAAAGTTCTGATTGTCTTCTTATATGTTGGGACAGTTAAAATCGGCCGATAATCGTGTCCTTCAGGAGCAGCTACAACAGAAGGTTCTCTTTCCTTCTTCCTTTTATGTGTGCGTAGTTTCAGTTTAGAATATCCGAGTGGGAAATACTTAATTTGTTGTACGATTTTTTTTTTTGCTACTTGCAGAGTATGGAAATCAATGATTTACAAGAAAAAGTTCTACGCCTCGAGGCACAGCTCATACCGAAAACCAACATATCCCCTGAACAATGCACACACCAGGAGATTCTTGATTTGAAATCTAAACTTCAGTCCAAGGTTTAATCCGTTTTATCTTCAGTTTAACTAGATTTCTTTCAAGATTTCTGCACTACTTTTTTGTGTCTTTAATTTATTTTGTTTATAATGATATATTGTGCATCTATGACATATTCTTATATTGTATGAAACCCACTACGTATTTGTGGATGATTTGCTGGAACATTGCACTGAATTTTGTGCTGCACTCTTTTAAGCTTGTGGATATGCAATACTAATTTATATGTTCATTTGTTGGTTGTATATAATTAGTTTACGTTTTTTCCCCTTATTAAACGAGTCAATCAACTTTGCCAATATATCTTGACAGGAAGTTGAAACTGAGAAGCTTAAATACCAGCATCTGGAAGTGATTGAAGAAAATCGAGACCTAATCAATCAGAACCACAAATTAAGTGAGGAAGCTGCTTATGCAAAAGAATTGGCATCTTCTGCAGCTGTTGAGCTTAAGAATTTGGCTGAAGAAGTTACAAAGCTATCGATACAAAATGCAAGGCAGGCAAAGGAGTTATTAATTGCCCAGGAGATGGCACATTCTAGGGTTCCTGTTAGAAAGGGGCGCCCAGCAGGTAGGGGCAGGGATGAAGTTGGTACCTGGAGTCTTGATTTAGAGGATATGAAGATGGAGCTACTGGCGCGAAAAAAGAGGGAAGCTGCTCTAGAAGCAGCTTTGGCAGAGAAGGAGCTTCTTGAAGAGGAGTACAAGAAGAAGTTTGATGAAGCAAAGAAGAAAGAGCTTTCTCTAGAAAATGATCTAGCAGGCATGTGGGTTCTTGTTGCTAAGTTGAAGAGAGGGGCTTTCAGCATATCTGATTTAAACGTTGATGACCGGTCTATCAATCTAGCTGACATAACTAATGATGCAAAGGAAAACAAAGGTGACACAAATGTAGCTTTAGTTGAGAAACAAGTGTCAGATGATACTGTGAAGTCATTGACTGCAGAAGAATATAGAAGTCCAGAATTTGAACCTCTTCTTGTTCGTCTCAAGGTATGTTTATAATTTTCGTTTCATGTTATGGTGTGTCTTCGTGAAGGGGTGGACATATGTCCATTACTTTGTGTACCATTACCATTCTCATATGCATCAAAATAGTTTGTGGGATAAGTGTGATGCCTTTGTAGTATTAGTAAGACTTGGTATAAAATACTCCCTCTGATTCACAATTTAAGTAGTCTAGGACGTTCACATGGCTTTAAAAGTAGCATTTTGGTCACAGTTTGCTTAAGAAGTGTTGTTTTTAATAAAACAACTATATGTTATGAGCACATATTCCATGACGACGTGTGCAATTCTTTCTATGCTATAAAGGTCAAACCTAAAAATGTTTGAATGATTTTGTTTTTTGTAAACTGCTATTATTATGAATCAGAGGAAGTGGTTAGTAACTAAGGCCCTTGCGTGCTAAGCTGTTGATCCCTGTACAAACCTTTGAGGTATGCCCTGCAGTGGTAATCTAAATTGACTTACATCGTCAGCTTCAACTAAAGTGATCGATTTGAATATAACAGCTTTTACATTTCACAAGTAAACTAATGTCCTCATTCCATCGTACTTCCTCCGTTCCTAAATATAAGTCTTTTTAGAGATTTCAAATGGACTATCACATACGGATGTATATAGACATATTTTAGAGTGTAGATTCATTCATTTTGCTCCGTATGTAGTCACCTGTTGCAATCTCTAGAAAGACCTATATTTAGGAACGGAGGAAATAGAAGGCTGCACTGGCAGCTGGAGTAGGCTTTGGGCCTGGTTTAGTCAGTGGGATGAGTCTGTTGTTTCAGTTTTAGGCCGGTTTCTCTTATTAACTGGCTAATTCTTTTCTCCATTTAATGAAGAGGCAGAGCTTCTGTTGGGTACTAAAATAAAATTCTATCATGAATGGCTGCTGGATTACTGATGTTTTGCTGCATGCAGGCTAAAATTCAAGAGATGAAGGAGAAGGAAACTGACCCCCTGAGTGATAAAGATGGCAATTCCCATGTCTGCAAAGTATGTTTTGAATCCGCAACTGCTGCAGTTTTGCTTCCTTGTCGGCATTTTTGCTGTAAGTCATGATAGGGAATTGCGTTCATGTGCTAAACATCCTTGTCGTTTATGTTTACTAATGTTATGCCTTTTCTTCAGTGTGCAAGCCTTGCGCACTTGCCTGTTCGGAATGCCCTCTGTGCCGCACACGAATCTTAGACAGGATAATTACCTTCACATAGATCACTTGTTAGCCTAAGGTACCAAATACTTCGCCACTTGCCTGTTGGCATTTTTGTTCCTATCCTAATTTCTAACGTTTGAAATTGTCCGATGAAAATGCTTGCCAGGAAACTTTTGACGCGCCCAATCTCTCCATGTAAAATCACCAACCTTATATGTTTCTTTTTCTGTGTAGCAAAGAAGGTTACTTTTATGTTCCTTCTATGTTGTATTGCCATTCGTTTGATTTCCCTATATGGCTTTACCTTGGCTCCTTGTTGTATTGAGAAGTTCAGCGACTTCTCGACAAATGTGTATAGATATGTGACTCAACATTGTCCTCAAGTAAAGCAAATTGATGTGGCAATACATATTTTTTCTTTTCTTTCAGAAGTAAACTATGAACATGAGATCCTCAAGCTGATGCAGTTAATTATTTTTCTGTTGTTTATATGCTTGTTCGGTTTAGGACGTGGATTAACCGAGCGAGCACTTAGGCAGTTTGAGACTTGGAAATCTCCCAGTATTGTTTCCAGACGGTCGGTAGTGTGGTTGAAAAATATTATATCTGGACACAGACAGCACTGACTGACCGTTTCACAAATCAGCATGCGAGAGCTGTGAACTCTAGCTCGTAGGTTGCATCACCTGCACCTCTGTCATCATCTGATGCGTGGGGACATCCTGCGGAGGAACCTTGATTAGAAGCGTCATGCTGTTGTTTGAGCTGACAATTTAAAACCACCTTGCAAAAGTGAGTTGGCCATTGAAGACGCTTCCCTCCAGTATAGCATTGCCCTTTGAACAGTTGTTTGGAAAATCGTTATCAAATACGTGGAGCACACTTTCATGAA